TCCGCTGCGGCTGCGGGCTGGCATCATTAAAATCAAAGTTTTCTGCCTCTGCTCTTTGAACCATTGGTGTGTTGAAAGAAAGAGGGCACGTCTCATGAGCCACCTTTGTCTAGACTTGCAGAGAGTTACTGGCGTGTAATGCCGAGAAAAACGCTGGTGTAAGCTGTTCAGCCAAGGGAAGCGCACGTGGTGGCGGGGGGGCGGGGGGAAGCTCCCGTGTCCTGCAGCCGCCCCCGCTTTGGAGCGACGGACCCCTTTGAGCTGATCCGGAGCGTTACGCAGCTAACCATTCCCTGGGATAGCTTTCTTCTGCTTTAAACTTCCTATATTGGATTGCTCAATGATCATGCTGTGTATGACTTTATTTCATCGTGTTTCCAGCATAATTGTTGGAGGCTAAATATTGGCGTGTATTAAGAATGCATTGGTGTGTGTCAAGAATGAGGAAGGCAAAGTTACTCGGTGAATGGATGTTTGAGAGTTTCACTCCTGGAAGTTGTGGTGAGCGCTGCCTGATCCTGTCTGTAAGGACAAAAACTCTGAATACTTGGGTTCAGAAATGTTTAATCATCTTAACTGATGATAAAGCAATTACTGAAATGTTTCTCATATTCTGCAAAACAAATCCATGTCAGGAAATCAAACAGAAGTAAATGGCTTGGCTTTCGTCACCAAGCACTTAAGCAGCCTGCTAATGATTTGAAAAGGCAGCAACAGAAGATATCTGAAAGAAAAATGGCAATACCAAATTTGTTTTCAAGTTTTATCTCCTTCACTAGAATTAAATCTGAAAAATGAGGACAAATACTTACATGTAAGAGTGACTCAGTGCCTTGGTCAAGGGGGGTAACGTTGTTTTGCACATACTACTTGCCGTTGCTTTTGACCGAAATTTTACGGCATATGATCAGACCAGGGAGTCTCTGTAGGAACCAGGTAGCACAGGGCAGACGAGCCCTTCCGAGTCATCCAGCCCTGCTTGTTGCGTTAAATCCCCATGAAGACTGATTGTAGTTAATCTCTGTTCCTTGGTAATAGCGATTATTTAAATGTAGAGTTTAAGAAACTGCAGAAGAGTTCCTTTCAGAAGCCTGTTAAATAATTACTTCACAGTAAAAAGTGGAACTTTTATTTTCTTGTAAAGACCAAATATCCTGGAAGAGATTTGAAATACACAATGCACTGCTCTATTTACTGTTTTAGAGCGAGCACGTGCCTCTACTGATACGCTGGAAACAGCCTGAGTTTTCAGACCAGATGTAGTTACCTGTCTTCAACAGCAGGGAAATGAAGCTGGGCCATTGGAAGGAAAACCCTCAGAAAAACAGCTTAAACTAGGAAATTACTCTTCTGAGAGCGGTGCCTCCTCTAAGTACACCTTGCTCTTTTTCTTGCCATCTAGCAGTGGTTTCCACTGGTTAAAGAAAGTTATTCAGAGTTTTCTGGCTGAGATCTTCTCTGTTTCCCCTCAAAGCCCAAATAATACACAGTTTTATGGGCCTTCTTTTCAGTTCACAGTAATGTAACTTTTTAATACCTGGTTGAAAGGGCATATCTTCTATTTTACATGCCTGCTTGGTGCTGAAAGGGTTCATGTTTTCCTACTAGCATGCTTTTAAATATGCACTGTAGTTGCACATGATGTTTCTATGACTCAAAAAAAAAAAAATCAGGTTTAAGAAATTGCAGTAAACTCTGAATTTTATAAATGAAAGAAATGACTTGGGAAACAAGACACAGTAAAAAGGAGACCAACCAACCTTGGTTGTTCTGCGTTTTGTGTAAGGAATTGATGAAAGACGTTCCTAAACAGAGATTTTGGGGTGGTTGCATTTTAAGACAACGGTGAAAGTGCACACAGCTCTCATGTCTCTCCTCTTTCTGCAGCTCTACAATGGTAGATGGAGTTATGATTCTTCCTGTGCTGATCATGATGGCGTTTCCCTCCCCGAGCTGGCAAGGTGAGTGACGTGCGTGGTGGGGCAGTAGCTCTCGGC